GAGGTTATGACATATTTATTTAAGTAGATGTCTGTAACACAATTATAATACAAATATAAAAATGCAGTGTTCTTGGTGATAATTTAAGTTGGGTTAAAATGCAATGGCAACAATAACATAAGCAACATTGTCTTGCAAATTTCAAAGAAGATAAGTATAACACATTTAAGATTATGATGTAGGTTTATAAAGAGATAATTATGATAAAAGAAAGCTTGTGAAGCACATGTAGAAATTGATAGTTATGAAGAGAGGATGTGATACAAGCATGAAAGAACTTGGCTATAATGAAACTCAGGTTATGGAGCACATCTTGATAGAGATAAGTAACACAAACGAAACTGTGATGTAACTGTATTTGTGGCGATGACATCTTGTAAATCAAATTCAATTTTCTTTTAATGATTAAATTTGAGCTGCATATAAGCCAACATAGGGGATGCAATTGTATAAACTACTAAGTTAATGTTTCAAGATCCATTTTAATAAAAATTTATAGATTAGTTAATATTCATTAAAATATTAGATCAAAAAAATATAATTTTTCATTTGAGTAACAATTAATCAATATTCCTAACTAGATAATTATTCATATTAACAAGAAAGCTCTCCAACATTTATGGGGATCATCTTTATGATTGTTATTTATTGATAAACCTATAAGAAAGATTAGCGATGATTAGACTATAACTCAAAAGATACATATATACATATATACATATACTCAACATATTAACATAAAATAAAGCATTCATTTCTTATAACCAAAATTATTTTTAATAATTATATTCATTAAGCATTAAGTTATACTAATAAGGTTCTTTTCAAATGTTGTAGTATAGTTTTTCTTCTTAATTATACTATAGGTGGACAAATTATATGCCTAATACATTTCTCATTAAAATTAAAGTTTTTTTTTAATTATACTATGTATAGCTTACATGTTGAGTCTTCAGGCCATGTTTTATTTTTCATATTTATTTTAATTTTATTAAAATTTTATAATTAAAAATTTAAAAGACATATCTCTCAAATAGATAAATTCACTAGTACTATATTGGGTCTTATATTATAGACTCAAATGATAGATGTATAGATAGATGTTCCATCGAGTCAAAAAAACTCAATAAAAAAAATTTACTTAATTTTACACAGAATCAATTGAATATTCACTTTAAGTTGTCTTCATGCATCAACACTCACTAAAACAAGCTGCACATAAAGTTTTGAATAATGCTCTAATTTTAATTAACATATTAAATATCTAAATTGATAAAATACCAAATGCAATAAATAGTAAACACTGCATAAAAATGTAACATTCATGATTTTTCATGTCAAATATCTTATGTACTCACCTCCCAAGTCAACATAAGGTTCAAATTAGATGCATATCCACTAGAGAAAATTGGTGGATACAACCGTTCATAAAAAAATATTAACTAATATATATAGTTTCTTTAATGAATTGTAGCTCTGCTCCTTACATAATATATATATATATATATATATATAAATTAAGATCATATTGAACTTTAGGCATTATTTTTACTAAGAAATGTCTCTCAAAGCTCTAACTCTTTTCTCTTATAACACTCCAAATCTAATCTGATTTTATTGTTATCATTATATTTGCTATTCAGATTTATTATAGTATTGAAGATATTATCAAAACTAATTTGATTATGTCGAATCAAATTAGTTTTCCAATAAGAAAGATCCAAGAAAATACTCAGTTTTTTCTAGTTATGAGTAATACCAAGATCAGTGGGGTGATTTATAGATGGTTTTAGAGAATTAGTAATCTTTGCTTTTACACTAACCATTTGTCATAAGTCATCACTGATTATCATTGGCAGAGGCCTTGATTACTTAGCTTTATTTTTAGAAAGACATCTTAAATTTTTAATTAGGTGATCATTAAGTAAAAACATTCAATAACAACCAAATCATAATTTTTTTGTCATATTTAAAAATAAATTTCTCTGATAGATTCATAGAATATGGACAAGATAACTTTCTCATAGTGCATTATCCCAATAGCATTCAATAAGTAAATTATAGTTCACATCAGGATGAATTTCATTTTAAAATTTTATTTTGTAGCAATATCATAAATGACCACAACTATTTCCCATAAAATGTAAACCTCTGTTATAATTCTACAAAGATACATCAATTTTTGTTTTCTTTTAGGCAATATGGACCATGTATGATCAATATAAACAATATAAAATATGTAGTCAAGACAAAAAAAAATTGCACAAACTAAATTCAAATGATTCTTTACTGAGAAGCTATATTAAAACTTAACTTAACTACGCCTAAACTAAATCTTAAATTTATTTAAGTTCAATTCTATATTAAATACAACAGTCAATTGGACGTTAAGTTAGACACAAGAATCCAATATAGCCTAATCTAAATTTAAAGTTAAAATAATTTAACCTAAGATCAAAGCTAAACTAAACCAAATTAACTATGCAAATTATTTTAGCTTAAGCCTACTTTGACTTTACAATTTATTCCAACTCTAACTTCACTTCAGAGTGAACCATAACTAAACCAAAGTAAAATGCACCCAACTTGCACTTACTCCAGGATAACCTAAACTCGACCTAAAAGTTTAAAACATGCCAAACTCTTAAGCTCAAATACACCCCGACCCAAAACCTTAAACATGTCAAAGTCTTAATCTCAAGTACACCCATAGAAGTTAGTTGGGTTAACCCAAATCAAAATTTTCAAAACGAATTTGCGTTGGATTTTCAGTTAAAACTAGCACCCAATCATTTTCTTACACACCCACTAAAATCTTCCATAAAACCTTCCTAATACGCTTCAATACTCTTCAAGTGGCCAGTTGCATGATTTTCATCGGCTCAATCACACAACATGCATGGGCCCCGACCTTCATGTGGCTGATGTACGGCTTCAATCTGAACCATCAAATTCCAATATCTAATTAAATCACGCAATTCCGCAATCCCATTATCAGCTTGCGAGCTGCCACTTCTCTTAACCACTGGAGCTCTCTTCTAGTATTTTAATGGAGCCCCTTTCCCTTCTATAAATAGAACTAGAACTAAGGACCTATCCGTGCAATTATCACAACGATACATACCGATTATATGTATATACAGACCTGCTAAGCGCATGTTTTGTCTTATATATCCACATATATATTTTTCGTAGTTTCTCATTTATTTTTGACTTTTTTCTAGGTTTTAGTTAATGATCTTCAAAAGCTTAGTGAGCGAGGTGCTGGTGCTGACAGAAGATAGAGAGCACAGAGGCTGAGTTGCATGAATTATTGCATCTCACCCCTTTGTGCTCTCTATACTTCTGTCATCATCTTATTATTTGCTCCTTTGCATAATTTTAGTTATCTCTTCTTGAATTTAGGGTTTGGATATAGAGGATGATCATGCAGAGCAAAGAGTTTTTATTTTTGAATGAAATACTTGTACTTGATTTGTTTTCTTTCATATGCTCTTCATTTGAGTTTTCTTATTTTTTCTCAACTTACCATTTAAAGATTTTCTTAGAATAAATTTTCTTATTGTTTTCATGGTGCTAGAAATTGATTGGAAAGCTTTTTGTTTTTTTCTCTTTTATGTGTTTTTTATTCAGTAACTGAACTGTGTGTTTTTGTTTTCATTAATAAATACATATAGATTTTAGTTGCAGATCATTTGATAGCTAGGTTAGTATATGAACTTATTTTTTCTTTTGATACTCTTCAAATTATTTTTTTGTTTTTTGGTTTTTGTTTTAATAAGGGTAATGTTTTCTATGTTTTGTTGAATTATGCTATTATTTTTTGTTTTTTATTTTTTTTTCAAAATCCATGTACAGTTCAATTGGAGATTTCCTCATCTCTTAAAACTGAAGAATGGAGGATAGTATGGGATGCTCAAACCCACAATTTGAATACTGTTTTATGACAATATTTCTTAATTATTTTTTCTTATCTCTTCTATTCATCCCAATTTACTAAGGTGTAAACTATATTACTATTATAAAACTCAAATCTGTTTCCTATAGTGGTATATATATTCAATATGTGTAGCCATTAATTTTGCTTATAGAGGTCATTTATACAAATAATGTTTCATTCTTCTATCCTATATTCATTCACACCCCCCTCTCTCTCTCCGCAATAAAATGATGATAAAAACATAAATATGAAATTGTTCGAGGAATTTAATGGTGAGATTATGAAGCGGACATCATTGCCAACTAATCCATATGATTTTATTCAAGGCAGGCGTTCACAGTTGCCAAACTTCTTATGCCTTTCTCATCAGATTAACCAATGTTAGGTTTTAATCACATTAAAACATACATATAAACTGATGGGACTTGGAGCGAGAGTGAAGCTTATCTTAAATGTAACTTTTATTTTATCTTCGATTAATGTTGGAGCATTATTAAGCTTTAGACGCTATGAGTTTCTTTTTGGATAAAAGCAGTTGGTGGCGTGGCGTTTTACCCCTTCAGAAGGGTAGAGAGGCGCATATTAAGATAGCAATTCTCTTTGGATATATTCTTTTTTAGCAACTTTATGACTTATATTATTATATATTTATATATACATGTAGTGAAAGGCCTGGCTTCCTCTTACGTAAATGATTCCTATTTTGGTTTAAAATATTAATTTTTTTGTTTTACTGCTGTTCCCGACATAAAGTGAGGGCGTACTAAGCTTTCCTATTTTATTTGAAACTTGTTATTTACAAAAATCAATTATTATTATTATTATTTTTTTCATTTTTATCAAATCTTCAATGGTTTGATGTCGCATATGTAAATACATCAGTTTGATAATTTAGAATGATTAATTTATAAATCTTATTGTTCTGTTGGTCTATGTGTGATAATTTTTTAAAATGGTGTGTTAAATCATCAAGTATGTGACTTAATTTTCGGGGATCCTTTTAATAATGCCTATTTTTTTAAAAAAATCATATTTAGATATATTTTCTATTATTATTCATTATAACTAGGGTGAATAGAAATAAAATTTTGAGAAAGTTGAAAATAATCCTATTAATTTGTCTTTTTTGCCACAGGTTCGTAGCCAAGTGGAGTTGATCCAAGCTGCTTTGAAAAGTTAATTATAGTGGATCAAAGGGCAAAGGTTGCATGGTTAGTTAAATGGGATAATAACCTAGTTCGACTCGATAAGTGTCATAATCATGACAAAATATTACATGCAGTTTTTGCACGCCCAAACACCTAATAACAGAGGATCATGTGAGCGAAAGTTCACATGCATGATGGTGTGACTTCTATGATGGATTGTCTGAACTTAAGATTGTCCGCAGGTAATATTTTCTCCTTAATTAAAGATTTTATCAAAACTTGATAAATGAGATGTTTATCTACCAAGGCAATTAATCTCCATCATCTTTGTCGCATTGCTAAGAAAGTCATAAATCACTTAATGGTTTTTTGCTATCGGTATTTCATATTCACTCTGCCATCCCTAAATATTTATGTGCTTTTTTTGCTCCCCAAGTTTTGGACTTGGAGATTAAGAATATCATATTTATCATTGAGAAATACAAATCATCCTTAGTTTTAGATTGACTATATTTTTAAAATCCTATGATATCATGGAAAACAATTCCAACTAGCCGCTTATAACTTTTATTTCATAGTTCTATCTTGCTTGACATGTCTAAACATAACATTTTTCACTCATTCCTAGAGTGCAAATGCCAGTACAATATGTCGCTATTATCCGATATCGTATATAATTCATTTCACAAATTATTATTAAAATTTTAATTAGCATTCTCAAAAAAGTTATCATTTATTATACATCTATTGCAACCGGCTCTCATTCAAAATAAATAGATTAAATATATATTTGAAAAAACATTTTTGTGGAAATATATGTCACAATAAAGCTTTTAATATTATGAAGTAAGACTCTGTTACTTAATGCATAATTCTTAAAGGTTTTTTACTCTATCATGATTAGGTAGCAACTACATCAATTATGTTCTCCTTTTAGTCATTAACAATGAGTAGATTTATAGTTATTGTAATTATTCTAATGATTTAAAAAAGGCCACTCCTTATCCCCTTTTCTCTTCACTTTGGCAATGAACACTATTTTAATTTTCTTATAGAAGGAAGTCAATGATGGATATTTCAATCCTATATGTAAATTAAGCTTCTTTATCAATGGCAACTTTACTACCAATCACCTTATATATGGTAATGATCCTTTGATTTTGGATCATGCTAATATCGAAGCTACCAAGTGTGTTTTTCATCATTATCTTGGTCATTTTGTTCACTACATAGGTTTGGAAGCCAATATTATCAAATCTAAAAGTGTGGTTGTTTCCCATTGAAATATAAATATTTTATTAGTTCTTGCTATGGGAATGTTAATAATCAACATTTGTTCTCCAAGATTAAAAAAAAATTATGGCTCGTTAAAGGATTAGAATCACAAAACATTATCCGTGTTAGCCAAATTTCACTTCATTAATTTAATCTTCAATCAATATTTGTACATAACATAAATTGTTAGCCTTACTAAAAATGTAATTTTATGATTTACTCAAGATTTTTCTTTTATGGTTTGCCAACTAAAAAATTGCATTTGACCTTTATTTCTTTCTACACTTAGTTGTATATATAAAATAAAATTATATAGAGGATTTAATATGATAGTATTTTTTTAGTTAATTGGTGTAAGAGAGATTATGGGTTTTTTTGGTACTCAATTTTAAAAAATTATTCATTTCAAAAGTACTTATACCTCTTGCGACCGTTTTGAGATTTTGGTTACCCTTTTTCTATTGGCTATAACAATTCCAATTTTTTAGTGACTCTTGGTTATATATAGAGCCTTAATTAGATTTTAATGTTCCAAGGGCTTATATTTTGCTAATAGTTGGAGCTTTTGATCTTAAAAATTGTACTTAAAATGCTTTAGGAATATTTAAAAATGTAAATTGAAGCTTATGAGAACTTTAAGAGATATAAGATGGTGATTAAGAATAAAATTAAAAATTGATTGTAGAACTCCTAATCTGGCCAATTTGATGCCAAACCTTATTTCCATAAATACTTTAATAGAAGATTGCAGAAATCTTTAATATAAAATGAGGAGACACTACAAGAAAGGTATTAATTAGTGTTAGTTTTAGAGTCCAAAAATTTCTGGCGCAAACTTTTGTGTCGGATTTGCATCTGATCTACGTCTATCTATACTGATTAGGGAAGGCCTTTGTGCCATTTTTTGTCGATGCAAACTGTTTGTATTAAAAGTTGCATCAACAAATTTTGATGTAATAAGATTTTTTTATTAGTATTGGCCGTTCAGACGGTGCATCCGATGCTAAATAGTTTGTTGGCAAATGCCGAAGCAAATTCAACGCACATGCACTAAAATTCTAATCCAATGTGAATGAGCCTCATTTGCATTTCCACTATTTAATAGCTTTAGGGTTTCAGCGACGACTGTTCTCCAGCGAGCGTCCGATGCATTTGCAATTTTGCTGCTCTGACGAGTATCCCTCCTCTCCAAGCTTAGGTAATGTTCTCTTCTCTGTTTTGGGCCTTCTCCTTCCTTATTTTAGGGTATGTAATACGTATGAGTTGTGTGGTTCGTATTAAAAAAATTGAATTTTGGTTGTTAGATATGTAATACATAAGAATTGAGTGGAATGTATAAAAAAAATTGAAGTTTACGTGTTACATATGTAATACATAAGAATGGGGTGGCATTTCTGTAAAAATTAAAGTATAGGTCTTAAAAATATAATACATAAGAATTGTGTGCCTTGTATGCCAAAAATAGAAGTTTGTGTGTTAGATATGTATTACATAAGAATTGAGTAAAATGTAAGAAATTTAAGTTAAGGTGATAGATATGTAATACAAAAGAATTGTGTGGTCTGTATGTACAAATTGAAGTTTAGCTGATAAATATATAATATATAAGAATTGAGTGGAATGTATGTAACAATTAAAGTTTAGGTCTTAGATATGTAACACATAAGAATTGAGTGGAATGTATGTAAAAATTGAAGTTTAGGTGTTAGATATGTAATACATGAGAATTGTGTATTTTGTATGTAATTTGAAGTTTTGGAATTGGATATTTAATACAAAAGAATTGTGTGGTTTGTATGTAAGAAATTGAAGTTCGTGTGTTAGATATGTAATACATATTCATTATGTGTTTTGTCAGTAAAAATTGAACTTGGGGTGTTATATATGTAATACATAAAAATTCAGTGGAATGTATGCAAAAATTGAAGTTTAGGTGTAAGATATGTAATACATAAGGATTGTGTGGTTTGTATGCCAAAAATATAAGTTTAAGTGTTAGATATGTAATACATAAAAATTGAGTGCAATGTATGTAAAAATTAAAGTTTATGTGTTAGATATGTAATCCACAAGAATTGAGTGGAAAGTATGTAAAAATTAAATTTAAGTTTAGGCGTTAGTTATATGAATTGATTGGGATTTATCTAAAATTTGAAGCTTAGGTGTTAAATATATAATACATGAGAATTGAGTGGAATGTATCGACGACTGATATTTAGAAGTACTAATCTTTGATTCTACACACATATTGCTAATAAATATTCAAAATTTGATATCATGGATGTATAATAGATTGTATCCTAAAAAAAAAAAAAAAAAACTCATTGATGAATTCTTGAATGGTGTAGAGAAATTTGTACAAGTGACGTCACAACTGTACATTCGAAGTCTAATTTCAAAATAGAACATTTCCTTCTGAACTTACAGATAGAACTCATTGATGAATTCTTGAATGGTATAGAGGAATTTGTAGAAGTGGCATCACAAATAGAGGAATACTCGAAGTCTAATTTCCATTACCTTCTAAAATTCACTTCGAGATCCAAGTTGTCAGTTTCAAAATTGAAATTCACTTCGAAATCTAATTTGAATTATCAAAATGAGAATTGTGGAAATGAAATTTAGATTTTGATATGAATTTCCATCTTGGAACCGACAAATTAGATTTCGAGGTGAAATGTCATTCTGGTGTTGGAAATTAGACTTCACAGTGGAGGATACAGTGAATATTCTTATATCATATACTTTTTTTTTTTTTTTTCTTAAGAACATATTTTAAGGCGTGTAGCCAATTGCGTAAGGGGCTACAACGACGAGAATGTTTAACTCTAGGATTGGCTTTCTAGTTGGAAACAAAATACAAAACAAAATGTCCGTGATAGGGTTGGAGTAGCTACAGTTTCAAGTAATATTAGAAAAAGATATTAGGAAGTCTAAATAAACTGTAGGAATTATTTTTTCTTAAATGAAACAACAATTGCCGCGAATGATTTTAATTTTGATTAGGATTTCTTTAGATTTGACAACTGTAAAGCTCGAAATCAAAACTTTTGGTCGTAAATCCCAGATTTACTAAATCCTGTGAATCAGTAGATTTAACTTTGATGGGCTTGGGATTTAACTTCGCGGGCTCCCGATTGTCTCCCCCGTCCATAACTACTTTCTAATTCCTTGCTGAAATTGCCAAATAGTTCAATCAGATTTATAAAATTTAGTAAATCCATTGCCACACATATTTTCAGCTTTAACCCATTCAGAATTTAATAAATCCAAATTTACGAGTTTTATTAAATCCTAATAACTTAAATCGCATTTGTTGCCATACAACCCCTAAACACTTTCCCTAGTGTTATCCATAAGAAGGATATCACAAGAGAAATACATACACCAAGGTAAATCCTCATATAAATCCTAGTAAGAGCATCTATATCTAAAGCAAACATGTATGGGCTTAAAGCTGATCCCTAATGTAATCCAACTAAAATAGGAAAATATGTAGGGGTTGTCTGACAATGGCTTTAGACAACGATTTAGGCAGAATTTAAGTGACATCTTGCTATGCAATCATCTGACGCTACTGTAAATTTGGATTCCACTGATTTTGCCCCTAAATCCCGAATTTATGAAATCCAACAAATAGGTAGATTTACCTTCGCGCGGTGCGGGTTTAAGACAAATTATTCAAGAAATTGCCAAATAGTTTTTCTAGATGTAACAGGATTTACTAAATTCGTTGCCAAATAGCTTTTGGGATTTAACTCTCTCAGGATTTACTAAATCCAGATTTACAGGATTTACTAAATCCTAGTAAATTAAATCCCAGCTATTGTTAGACAACACCTTAATACTACTTGCTAAACCCTAAACTTTAGACAGCTTTTTGGAAATAATTGAAAATAAAAAAGTAAATGAAGAGGAGTTACCTTCCTCGATCTTTTGGGTAGGAGAGGAGTGGGAGGAGGAGAAAAATCTGATTTTGCAGTCACTATAAACCTTGAGCCCATCGGTGCGTTCCTAGCTAGCTTCTATAAAGATCATACCCAAGGCTTCGACGACGAAGGAAATGGTTTTGGAAGAAAAGAGAGAGGGGGGAGGGAGATGCGAGGGTTTTGGGGAGAGGAGAGGGATTCAGAGAGGCTTCGATACAAAGGAACGAGGGAAAAGGAATTAGGGCAGGAGGGGGAGGGTCGCGAATTTGGTGGTATAAAGGATTACTTCCGACTGCTTATATAGGACTTACAATCGGTCGGCTGTGAATTCTATTACTAACGGTACTCGTCGCTTACTATAAAAAGGCAAAGGTTAATCTCCCACCAAATGGCAAGTTCGAAGATAACCGAAGACATATAAGCGTCAATAATATAACCGATAGTTTATTGTGTTTTTTAATAATAAAAATCATCAGAAAAATTTTTTGTTGATAACCGACGACAATTTGTAGTTATGTCATAGTAAATAACCCAAACATATACCATCGTTGAACCTTCAGTAATCTACATTAGTACCGATAGAAAAAACTGTCACTTAATAAAAAAATACGTCAGTTAGCACCACGTCAAATGACGGATCGTGTATAACGTAGGCAATATGGTCGTCGATTAATATTTGCTTTACAACCAATGACCTAACGAGTCGATAACAATTAAAGTCAAGTCATCATAAAAAAATTATTATTTATAAGTGACGGCTTGTTCTATTGTTATGTCGTCGCAAATTACATAAATCATAATCCCGCTACACCATAAATAAATGAAACATTTTTTCGACGTAAATGTAGGTCGTTGGATTTGCTGTCGGTTTTAGTTCATTTTCTTGTAGTGCATGGCTTTCCCATAAAATAGAAGTCACTTGGGATAACTTTGGCTGGACACTCAAATTGATTGGGCTTTATTATTATTGTTTATTTATACTATTGCAATTCACCATATGAAAAGTTAATGTAACTTAGCTTTTGGAAAGAGTAAATACATGTTCTAGCAAACCTTGCATTATTTAGAAGACAAATACATAACCCAAAATGTATACATAAATAAATATAAAATTGTAATAATTATCTTAAACTACAATATATGATATAAATGATGACATGAGAATAATAGATTGCCTTTGGTCATTATTTTTTTCATAGACTTTATGATAGAATTATAACTACTCTTTTGGAATTGATAAAAGATCAAAATGTCATACCATTGATAAGAGAGTTTCTCTTCTTCCACAAATGGGTTAGATAAAATATATTTTTCTAACATCTATTTTAATTATAACAATCATATTAGTATGTTGGATAACAATTATTTTAATTTTAACTACTCTTGTGGCTTAAACTTATTATTACTTTCAAATTTCTCACAAGCTTCTCATTTAACCTTTGGTTCTTTAACATTATAAAAAAATATTATTTTCTTTCAATATTTATATATAATTATAGATTTATATAATAAAATTTTTTTTTTGTTTTTTACAATTCAATTATATAATTATATATTTAAAATGAATTGCTACCTAATTGAGACATTAAGATTTTGATAATTTATAAAAATGATTAGAATGAAAAGTTGATTGGCCAAATATAAGTATAAGGAAATCATTACTAATAGATTTATAAATGATTTTCTTGCTAGTCTTCTCAATTTATGTTTTACATGCTTTCCACTTAGCCTTCTACCTCTTCTAGGGTTTGTCTTTGACACTAAATTAATGTAGCCTTAATTTTAAGTAAGTGTTCCAAGGGATAATATTGATGTAGAATGAGAACTATGTTTTAGAAACTCTAGAAATAAAATTAGTACAACATAGTGATGGTGAATATATTATGACGAGTTAGAATAACTTTGGGTGATTTAAATGTTTTTTTAGCATGTTATTATTTTATGGATAGGTTCTTTTCTTGATTTATAGGTTTGTCTTACAATGAATTAAAATTTATAATTTAGGCATGCAACTATTAACTTGAAGATTGTGATCACTTATTTTGTGTTTGTGAACTAATGTTGCTATTGAGGAACCTCATCCTTGATGATCATTTTAACTTGCTAGATATGCCTTTAATTTATTTTTTTTACAAAAAGATAATGATTGCAACCAATCCATTATTTACAAGGATTATTTTCTTATTATTAGTGCATTGCTTTATATTATAAAAAAAGCACAATAGAGTATTTTATAAGAAGGATCTTCTTTATCATCAACTAGTACTTTAATTATACTTTAAGTGGCACTCAAAATTATAAAATATAAATGGAATGTTAAGTGGATTGAGAATGCAAAACTTAGATTTTATTTTTTTTTGAAATTCTATTTTTGATGACATCACTAGTGCTTTATGTCTTTGGCCCTTGCCTTCACTATTTTCTTTTATTGAAAGTATCCATGTGCTTTTAACTGAATGAAAAAAGAATATATTGTCGTGGTGATATTCATTCATATTTGGAATATATTTTGGTCTCATTTGAGAAGTTATTTTCCTCCCACACCCACCCCCTCACCGCCCCATGGATCATTAGTTTTGGATTTTAAAGTTGTTGTTGTGCAAGCTTTTCATAAACATATGTTAGTTTTTAGAAATATTGTAATTTTTTTTTTTCAAAATACAACCTCTTCTTAATTTTTATTTATATTTTTATTTATATTTTGATGTTACATATATATTACATACGGAGCACCCAAAACATTGTTATGTACAAATAAATCACCCTTTTTCATACATTTCTCAAATTCTCAGTCAAATATCAAAGTTCATGATAAAACCCCTGCCCATATTTTTCGTTTTTTATTAAATTCACAATGATTTGATAATGACACGCATAAATGTGTCGATTTCATACTTCAAAAAATCACCTTGGTGCTTGATTTGTAAATAGCATTGTTTCTTGTGCACTGTATGTAATTATCCCACACACACACATACACACACAGATATATATATATAGATAGATAGCTGATGTATGGGGCATTTATGTACATAATTATAATGTCAAATGGTCAAAGAGGCATTGACACAATAGTTGTCATAAACGTTTAGGGTCCGTTTGGGGCAGCTTATTTGGTGCGGTGACGTTTCGAAAACGCACCTGACCTGTTTGGGTAAACTTTATTTTAGCAGCATATGCGTTTTCAAAACGCCAAAAACAACATTTTCACAGGTGCGGTGGAAACTTTCTGGCAACGGTCTGGCTTTTCTGGCTTTTCCAAAAAAATAAAAATCTGTAATAATTATTGCACCTAATTTATCATCAAATTATTTTTAATCAGTTTATCAGCAGATTATTCAATAAGCTGCAGCATATGCTCCCTCCCTTGTCTTCTGCTCTCTCCCTCCCTCTCCCCCCCTCTCTCTCTCTCTCTCTCTCTCTATCTATTTATGTTTATGTACCAATTTATCTTCTAACTATAAATTTAGTCTATGTGCGGTTACTAGTGTTCAAATTACTATGTTAAATGCAAAAAAAAATTGAACCCCATACCGTTCTCAAGCTATTTAAGGCACCAAATTTAGAATGTTTTTCAGCCCAGTCGATGATTTTGGACACATAATTAAAATTTATATTGTACCTAAAGTGGATTGCAACCATAAAGTTGAGACTTAGACATGGTATTCATGATAATAAGGTTATAATGAGTCAAGTCGAGTTTGAGCTACTCTCGGTCCTGCACTTGAGATTGATTAATTAATAAACTTCAAGTTTGAGTCCGAGCATAATTTTAGGAGTTCATCTACTCACGGGCCAATTTGTTTACTCAAGTCAATATTATAATAAAATATAAATAAAATGATTATTAAGAGATAAATAATAAAAAATCATTTGATATAAAATATAAAATATTATTTTTTCTTTCAATAATTTAAAGATAAAGTCTTGCACAAGCCACCTCAAGAGCTAACAAGTTAAGTCAAATTTAACTGTGATTGGTTAGTTTATCTAGTTCCACTCATGAGCAACTAATGGAGCTGAGCACAAACCAACTCAACCCTAGATGATGCTTTGTATTGTTTTTTTATTATTGTTTTTAATTTCAGCAGCTAAAGTTTCTTATAGCTTCGTATATTGATATTAATGCAAAATAATAATAATAATAAAACAAAACTCACATAAGAAAATTTATAACAAAACATTCCCCCAATTCTTAACAGTTTTCCAAAAAACAGAAGAGATTAAGGGCCAGTTTGGGGCAGCTTATTTGGTGCGGTGGCGTTTTAAAAACGCACCTGACCTTTTTGGGTAAACTACGTTTTGGCAGCTTGTGTGTTTTTAAAACGCAGAAACATCGTTTTCATACCGCACTTATCTAGTGCGGTGGAAGCTTATTGACAACCGCTGACTTTTCAAAAAATATAAAAATTTATAATAGTCACCGCACCTAACTTATCAGCAGATTATTAATCAGCTTATCAACATTCAATAAGCTACAGCCCCCAAACAGACCCTAAGTCATTACTTCAACAGAACATTAACAACAAGGGCGCATTTAAATACATATCAAACAACTCTTGTATATTTATATATCAAAAACCTAAACTTTCATATCTCCATAAATAGCACTCAAATCGTACATCAATAACAGCACTATTATTAACTTCATAAATTTTTAACACTAAAGTGTCATAAATATAAATATTAAAGTTTAGGGGTTAATTATGTAAATACATAGCAACTGTGTCGTGTACATGTAAATTTCCCGTACAAATTAAAACAGTGATATTAACATCAAATAAACATAGCTCCAAAAATAATTATTTCAAACTTTCATAAAATTAGAAAAAAAATTGTTAATAACGCATTGGAAAATAATTCCCATTTTCAGTAATTTCCATACAGATCAAAACCCTCAGACATTATGTTCAGCCTCTTCATTCTCCATGGGACAAAATGATCTATGGAGGTCTCTCGTATGCTCAGTTGTTGTATCCAAAAAATACAACAAAGAACACATAACAATACAGGAAACAAACATTGGTATTGGTCCAAAAATCCACAGGAAAAGAGTGAAAGACACATAAAATGCCCTGAGGCCAAGAGACCAGAACAAGCTCCCCCTATTCAAACTCCTACCAACATATTTCACTGAAACCAAGTCTCCTCTACTATCAATTACTGAAGGTGGGGTTGTCACCAGGAAACTAACATGTGCATAGTATCTTATCGCCTGTATGTGGCAAAGGAATGCGAGGATGAAACAGAGCGATATGGCAAAGAGCTTCGTCGAAGATGCCAGCGAAGTCTTGTTGCCATACACCAATGCTGAAGAGGTTGAGGATTTGGAGGTGGCGCTCACGAAGACACTGATGAGGGAGGCGAGAGTGATTGCGGTGGTGGCCAACACAGTCGATGCCATTATGTTGTTGCGAATTGTTTGCACCGCAAGCACGCCATTTTTCAAGGAATCCTGATGAACATAATGATAATGAGAATATTTTTTTCTTGAACAGTTAATGTTTGAGCAATTTTATAATCACAAGAAATAAAAAAGATGAAACAGTATGATCGGAGCAGAATGTACCGCCACAATACTTAATAGGGAAGTTTGCATGCCAAACACAAAATTCTTATCTATTTATATAAGTCACGCCTAAACTTTCATATTTACATTGCACTTTGGGGTTTAAAAATATGCATGAAAAAGGGCATTTGATTCTTTCAAGTAGTAATAGTGTCATTTCTTGATGTGATATTAAATATTTGAGTACTATGTCCGTAAATATGAAAGTTTAGCTGTGATACATGTAAATACATAGGAATTTTGTGCTATGTATGTAAATGCCCCTTTTTAATATTTCTTTTCAGCAAATAAAGCTGTATTTTGATGCTAGCATCCACCAAAACAATTAAAAATAGGAGCAAATTGTTTCTATTTTAATCTTTGAAAATTATAATTTAAATTAAACAGCTAAACTTCTAATGCAAAAAAAAAAAAAAAGAATTACCTAAGACAATATGTATGTTTTAGAACTTTGTCCTCATAGAGATGTTAATTTCTTTTTTTATTTATTATAACAGTATTTATATAGCAATTAATTATTTTCAGCTCCGGTTTATAGCATTTTTAATATGATATTTATTTTGGTTTATCACTATAGCGTTAGGTTGATAACCTTTCCTATACCAGGGAAGAACAAAGTCATAAAACGAAAATGTAGTATTTCCTTATCTTATACTAACAGTAAATAGGCTATACTTTCAATATGATCCAATCATACACAAACTGGAGTAATGTATACTTGATGTAAAAACATAAATGCAAATTAACAGATCCTGAATACTACTGGATCATAACCCAATCAGAAAGAATGTTAAAATTCTATAAGAAAAGAGTTCACAACTGAATTATTAAATTTCTGGAGTTATTAAAGATGACAATACCAAAGTACATTTATTTTCAGATTAGGATTTACCAATGTTTTGTTCTAAGGATTTCCAGTCTTACTAGCTATCATTATCTTGTTCACGAGTATAAAAGCTTACACTCAAGGAATTCAACTTATCAAATTTTCAATGTTAACTACAAAATTTTCTAAAGAAAATTAAGGGACATAGCCCAATTTTAAATTTACAGAATGAAGGGTGTTAGAATAATGATGTAACATTGCACAAATTTTAATGAAGTTGAAAAGTAAACATATTAAAGATCACAATCACAAGATATACAAACTTCTATGGTTCAGTTATATTCACATATGTCCATTGTCAAATAGAGATTAAATATTCCACTAAGCATTAAAGTAGAAATATATCCAAATAAAAAAAATCATATATGCAAGGATAAAGATAAAGATATCAGTTTGTGTATATAAAAAAGGAGATAGATCCAAACACCTGCTGCAAAATAAGAGTTAGATATAGAGAAGAAAATGTTGTCAAATGCTATTACCATTTTCATTCCCGATTTCGAAAGCTACTTGTTTCTTTTATCTACTACAAGAGCTTCTTCAATTGATAACTTAAGGCTTAAGCAGTTCTTTTTTCTCTCCATCTATATACTATTTGCTTTAGCTACTAAAATGCACCAACACATCAGAGCCATCTTTTATAGTGCTTTGGGTGATATGTAATAAACGTAAATTTATTCAGTAAATGATGGCAGGTATCAATAATGTAGATGTTAGGTAGAGCAAGGTAGATAATGAATTTATAAAGGTTAGACAAATGTGATAGAGATTTTGTATGAGTTAGGTAAAAATAATTTTATGTTCACATCTTAACTCTTCAATGGAGAAATTTTTTAATCTACTTGTTCAAATGTTCTAAAGCTTGAAAATCTTTTTAAACGACACCTCAATATCATGATTTCATAAAGGTTCATCAAGGCTTTGCAAAGCCTCAACTTTATAAAGGGTCCCGCTTTTGTGATCATATCAATAAAATTTCTTGCTTCTTTGAATTCATTAAGCTTTAAAACATCATCTTCAAGCAAGTTATGTATGAAGTAGTATTTGAGTTATGTGTATTTTCCAAGAGTGAAAAGTAACATTCATTAGCAAATGAATGACACTTAGATTGTAACAGAATAGAGAAACAAGTTGTGATTGATTTAGTTCTTTTAGAAAGCCTTTTAGCAAAATCATATCTTTATTGGCTTCAGTGAAAGCTACGTATTCAACTTCTGTTATTGATAAAGCGGTAATCTTTTCTATTTATAATACCCAACTGATGCTAGTGCTACCTAAGGAGTAGACAAACCTCAAATTACTGCATGTATTTAAGTCTCATCCCAAATTTATGTCAAAATATCACTATAGTTTAAAATAGTCATTTTAAACTTTGATGAGTGATTAGTTATACATATCAATTAGTATGATCTATTTTATAGCAATCATATATTCCTTTCCAATATTAGATATATTACATCTATTAACTATTTCACTGACATTCAAAAAAAAAAAAAAAAAGATTTCACCTCATTTGCAATGTCTAGCCATACACAAATAATCACATACATTAAAGAACCAACAATTGATGTATGATAGGCTTTAGACATATAATCCTTCATGTATCCACAACAATTATGTTTCTTTTCAAGAATTTGAAGTGACAAGTGAAATGCTTTCAACATTCCAAGAATCATTTTGGCTTCTCCCAGATCATTAATGTAATATTCTCTCTTCATCTATCTACAAAAATTATGTTGCTTTATAAGAATTAGAAGTGGCAAGTGAAATGCTTTTAACATTCCAGGAATCTTTTTGGCTTCTCCCAGGTCATTTATGTATTATTCTTTTAACAATTTCCTTTTAAGATCATTAATTTTTGCTATAAAAACCCTTGTAATCAACATGTCCCCAACATAAAAAAGCAGTATGGTACAATGTTTTACAATGTCTTTTATAAAGCAATAATGATTAACCATGCATATGTGAAAGTCAATATTGAGCATGAATTTATCAAACTTTTAACACTATTGGCGTGAAGCTTGCTTCAAACTATATAAACGTTTGTTGATCTTAATAATTAAATTTTCTTATTCTTCAATAATAATGCATACAAATTTAAAACCTAATCAAGGTCTTCTTTAGATCATCATGAAAATAGTCTTAACATACACATGCTCTTATGTACAAGTCTTTTACAACAATAATATTCAAGAATTAATTGTATAATTGTCAGTTTAACTATATCCAAAAAACTAAGTCAAAACCTTTCTTCTATTGGAAACCTTTTGATGCCAACCCGCCCTGTATATTTTATTGCCGTTTTGCTCTTCTTTGATTTTATAAACCCATTTATAATATAAAAATTTATTTTCTTTCGATGACTTGGTCAATATTTAGATGATTTTGTAGAGAGAATACAACTCTTCTTTTATTGTTGGTTCTCATTTAACGGAATAGTTTACAAGCACAGCTTTTTAGAGCATTCAAACTCACCGGCATTAGCAAGTAGCAAATAATACAGAGAAGGGCAACACTGATTAACAGGTTCTAAAATTCTTTATAATCTAACTTCTGCATAGAAGTATCTGGCAGAGGCTGATTTTGATCTTCTTTTTATGACTCTTGTCTTTTATCAAAATTAACTAATTCTTCTACTTTAACTTGCTCTGTATATGAGGTTTCCTTCTATTCCTGCTAGCCTTTTACATATATATTTAATTTTTTTTCTTATTTTTATTATTTTCTTATTTTCATCATCCTAAAATTTATAGCTAAAACAATCGGCATTATAATAAAAAAAGTAATATCTTCTAAATTTTGGATCAAATTTATCACAATCATTGTTGTGTCCCAAACCTCACAAACAAAAAATAGAGGGTTACTTTAGGTAGCCGACAATCAACATAAAATTTTCATTGAAAAAATATACCATTAAACTTTTAAATCATTGAATCAATGCTAGGGTGTGCCTAGAAAATGATGCGTTGTTTAGCCTAAATACACTAACAAGTTTGCAAGGGTCATTGTGTCACACCCAGGTATAATGTTAATTAAGCAAGTGTTCACACATTATGGATGAATTCGGGCAAAGAAGTTAGTCCATGAAAATAATATAAAAAATATAAACATGGAATATAGGTACACTCACAAGGGAAATTGATGAAATTAGTAGATATTATGATTCATAGAAAAATAAAAATCTTATGCATTCAAGAAAATAAATGAGTTGAAGAAAAGACTAAGAAAAATGATACCCCTTGAAAAAATAAGTTTTATTAGAGAGAATTTAAATTGATATGTTAGTAGAATGATAAAAAAAATTTATTAGTATTCATGATTTTAGCTATGATTTGGGGGTGCCTGATGAAAAAGATAATCATATTGAATTTTATTTATGTTGAAAGATCTCGAAAATACTAATAATTATATTTCATATTTGTTATAACTCTATATTTAGAGAGTTATAAATTATATGAGGGATCTTGAGAATCTTTATTTATTTATCTCCTTAAATAAAAGAGATTCGCTGCCTCTTATATTTTGTTATTATTCATTTTCTTTTCTACTGTATTATGCTTTTATTATTTTTCTTACCAATAAGTCCTGTAATGAGTATTTATACTCATCTTTTTATCAATAAAATTAAGTCATCTCATATCTTTTCATGGTATCAGACATACCAATCTTCTTTGGTATGACGATTTCTTCTTCTTCTTCCTCCCAAGAAATATCCTCCGCCTCATTTGCCCCAGTTCCAAGCGGAATCAATGGCACTTCCTCCCTCATCACTGACCACAAACTCAACGGCCAGAACTACCTCCAGTGGTCTCGTGGTCTCAATCCCTCATGATGTTTATCTGCGGCAGAGGCAATGACGACTATATCACTAGCGATGTTGTCGCTCCAACCAAGGATGACCCAAAATTCCGGAAATGGAATGCAGAAAACCACATGGTCATGTCATGGTTAATCAATTTCATGACCAACGAGATCGACGAAAATTTTCTTCTCTACGGCA